GAAATCCGTATTTCTAGTGAAAAAATTCAGAGGCTAGTGCCTTCTGTGAATCCATAAGTAATGATTTACTTAACAGAAGTAAATTAAAAAATAGGCTCTTGTGAGGACATTGTGCTGGCTGAGCCTTTTAATAACACTTCTTAAAATAATTTCAACCATTCTGAGTGAATTGTAAACTAAAAAAAAATGAAGGTCTTTCAGGCTTGACTACGAGAAGGCATAAAAATGGATCTGTGCTCTCCAAGTATGCAACACCTACATGTCTTTATTCTGATACGTTGCTCCACTCAGTTGTTCCAGTCAAGGCCTACCTCACAGCATGTCCAGTCCAGTCCTGTGCAATCCCTCTAAACATTTTAACTCCCTCTCCTATTTCTCTTGTGGACCCCTCCTCACCTCCAGTTCTGCCCCTTCAGTTGCTGGAACGGCCTCAGCGTTTTGTTTTTTGGTTTTGTTTTAAATAGAAACAGCACTGCAAAAAATCTCTGCTGATGCCCCTGTGTAAACTTCATGTCATTACCTTTTCAACCAATTCTGCTGACATAATTTACTGTTTGTGTTCCTCTTCCCTTGTTGTGTGCTACTGAAAAAAGTATAGTGAACTTTTTTCCAGATTTATTCAGATTTTTGAGACAGGTTTCCGTGCTCCCAAAGCCTGAATCTGTTGCCTTTCTGTGCACTGCTGCAAGTATCGGATCTCCAAAGTGTGGCTGGAGAGAGAAGGCTGCCAGCTGGGAGTACCAGCTGGGTCCTGTGCCTTGTTTCTCATTTCAGATGAACATTGCTTTCCAAGCTGAAAATAGTCCAGTGCCCAAGATTTCAGACATGTCCCCTTAATTGAGTTTTATTTTCCTCCTCTTGAACTCTACATGCTGCAATTTACATTCGAAACCCTACAAATGCAAACAAGATTTTGCAATTTCACATTTCATTCTGAGAAGGCACACAAGACTTCTGTCAACCATGTTTCCTGTTCTGACTCAAAAGGATCCCTGTGAGAAAAGCTGAGCACATGGATCACCACTGGCCCTTTGTTAAATTAAGGGAAAAGAACAAACTCCGAGGAAGGAATCTGACATCCTTGCAGTATAACTGGGGAGGAAGAGTAGAGGGCAGAACACGCTGCAATGCTCCAGGTTCCCTCTGCTTGCAATGCGTTGGACCTTGCAGTGTACAGACAGGCAGTAAGGCTCTTTATCCGTAATAACTGTATTGGTCCTTCAAAGAACCGCAAGCTACAACGAAGATGCCTTTGCATCCAGAAGGAGCTACTGTATTTCAAGACCTGTGCAGTCTTTTCCTGTAGCATTATCAGTAATCTCATACGAGGTGCAGGTAGAGACTAAGTTTTGCACCAATCCTTTACCCTATCTGTTAACTGAAACCCAAGGCCATGTACGCTTTCTTACCTGACAAGAAGACCAAGAAGATGAGGTGTATGAGCTTCTCCATGTCAGTTGAGCAGAGAAGGGGACAAGAGAGGAGTCTGGAGAAAAGTGAAAAGGGCTCTTGCTCAAGAGCAGCTTGCTTTTTCCCCCTCCTTGCTCTGCCGGAAGAAATGAGCACAGGAACTTGGCATCTTTTTCGTCCTACATATTGAGCAATTCACCAGGGATGGGCATTTCTCTTGTGCGCTGAAAATTCAGGCATCAGCATTGCCCACTCACAGCCACAATTTAGTCTAGACAGCCTGAAAGAGAAAAATCATGTGATGGCCTGAAACCATGGTACTGGGAGTCCCTCGCAGCTCAGCAATGGTGCCTGTCCACCAGAGCGGGCTTTACATGCGAGCTTTGCACGGGGTGAGTTTCTGGAAAGCTGAAAAGGAAAGGGTGACTGTCATCGAGACTCTGCAGGTAGCGCAGTCAGCATCACGAGGGTGAAGGGAGGGCAAGGACATAATCTTGGGGTTTATCTTCAGGGGAAAGGAGGTTTAGAAGAGCCTGTGCATGAAGCATTCCTGGTTAACATATAGCCGAGGACAGAAAGACAAGAACACTGTGCTGGGTGAAGCTGTGAGGTGCTTTAGATGAGCAAAACAGACATCTTTATTTTGTACCCAGCAGAAAGGACGTAAGATCAAGGGATGGGGGCATTGATTCGGAGCCAATCAGTGCCATGCTGATGCAGTAGTTGAGGACTGCAGTTAGGGAGCCTCCTGTAGCATCAGCAAACTGGCAGGCTGTGGATGGGTTGCTGTCTTTTCTTTTTTGATTTTATTTACTTGCAGATCTTCCATGCAAGTACGAATAGACCCTGGCTTCTTCACTGGTGTGCTTATTTGCTTTTTAACAGACAGATAAACCTGCAGGTCTATCCATTCATAAATGTGCCTTCTTTTTCTTTCCTCTAATTAGTGTTTAAGAAAATGGTACCTTACTGTATCCAAAAATTGTCTGTGAGGCTTACTGATTGCAGGTTTTGTTCATTCTTGCTCCAGTGAGCACAAAACTGGATTCTCTTTGATCAGAGGCAACTGCCTCCCTGAAAATGTCTCTCTTGAACTCAATTGTTTTCTACTATTACTCTTCCACTGTTTGACCCAGTGTAACCGACTGCATGAATAGCAAATAGTTAGGGGAATCTTGGGCTGAATGAACCATTTCGAGAACCATTTTCTTTCTCTCATTTCAAGTTAAACATGTCAACTCTGAAAATCTCAAAAAATAGATCAGCTTCCTTGCTGCAGCCATAGCAAGAGAAGCCTATTGGATGTGACTGACTTGTGAACAGGGAGTGGTTCAGGCCCCTTTAATTTGCCACCTGTCTGCAGAGCTTGGTGCAGCCAAATAAAGCGCCAGGGTTTCTGGTCTTTTGGAGAAATTGAGCTGAGCCCCAACAAACTCATTTCATATTGCTCACCACATGACTGCTAAATAAAGGCAGCAAATGTTTCATCTGGAGTATTTCCAGCAGAGAGAGGGAAGTAATGGTATCACTTTCCAAGGCCCTGGTGAGCTCTCCCATGAAGCTGCACATGCATTTCTGGTCTCCTGTGACTTCAGAAGAAGAAACAAAAGCTTGCTTTCTGTGGTGTAGCCAAAAAAATAAAAAGTGCTGGAAGCAGGCATGCTGGTTTGTACTGGTCTTCCAAAGAACTTTCAAAGAACCAGCTGCACTGGTGAATAGGCTGGGAAGAGCTGTTTAAAGTACAGCACAGTGCTGCAAAAGAACAGAGCTACATCTGAGACTAGCTGTATAGGGATTCCTGAAGAGATGCAAAGATGCCTTATAACAATGAAGGCGAGAGACCAAGTGCATTGGAAAACATGTTTGATTGATAGTTTATGGTGTGATTATTCAGGATAGCAGGGTTTGATGAGGTCCCAGCCAGTCTAGTGTTCCTGTGGCAGCTCTTGGAAATTGCCAACCTGCATCATAGCTGCACTGGGGATCCATAAATCTGTTGTGTGTCTGACTTACTTAGACATTTACATCTGTAAATAATCCACTCTTAAAGACCATTGTGTCCCTTCTGTTATATCAGCTGATGTTGAGACCAGCTCTTACTTCCTCTGTTGTCTGTCATACATCCTGCAACTTCTTCACACAGCCTACCAGTTTCTTGGTCTGTGCTACAGACCTTCCTCATGTCTGTCTCAGGGCTTGTCCTTATAGTTAGAACAGCAAGGCAAATTCTGTTCAAAAACATCCCAGTGCCCTGTCCAGTCCTCTAGTGCAATACCACATGTTGTTCCTTTCTTTCCTTTCTCCAGAAATACTCATTTTTGGTTCTCCCTGCTTGTCTTGATTCCACACTGCCTTGGTTTAAGCAGCCAGTTTGTGTGTTCTTGGGGAAGAGAGGGTGTAAGACAGCAGGCCAGCTAGAAGTTGTTGAACAAAGGGCCTTTGATTAGGAGGTGGTGAAAGGATGGGTCAGTCTGCACAAGCTACACATGGGAAGCCATGCCTGTAACTTCAGATTTCAGCTGCTGCTTCATTCTGTTTTCAATGTACAGGCCTCAAAGACTGCATAAATATGCTGTAGCTGTGGATGACCCTGAGAGCAAATGCAGCCCTCAAGCTTGGAAATAATTGAGTTGTCTAGAGGGTACAGTGTTGGAGGCTCTTGCTAGTGTAAGTAACAGCAGCCGCACTGAATCCATCCCACAACCCTCTGGACTCCGTGAAGGGACACTTGTACATGCACTCAGAAGTGGCATCACGTTCATTCCCTCCTACCCCCAAACTCCAGTGTGCACGCTTTATTTCTTGATCTAAAGCTAAACATTTAGCTTTAGTTTGAAAGCCTCTTACCATCTTACTTCTTACCTAAGCAGACTGATAAATTTAGGTTATAGGGGAATTTGCATTAAGTCTCAAAAAATGTACATATTACTTATAGGCACCGTTGTTGTTTTGTAGCTACAAGACCTTCTGGTGCTCAGATTCATACAGCACAATCTTCAGTTTGCACAGTTTGCAATGCAGCGTATCATCGTGTTGCAATACTCCCTCAAGCTATTTGCCTTCAGGTAGATGCTGGTTCTGCTTATTCCTATAATCTAGTGCTCATTACATGGCAAATGAACCTGGTCACAGCAAGGTTAGAACTTTATCCCTACAGCACTGGAATGAGTTTGCTTGGCCATAGTAGCTGAACCCTTAGAAGTGGGATACAGTTTCTACCAGTGAACATAGTTGAAATACCAAACCCATCCATGTCCAGACGAAGACTGCTCTTTTTCAGAAGGTCGGTCCTCCACACCTGCCTCTCCAAAAGAGTCTGCATTTTAATGGAATTGAAGAAGGCAGATGTGCAAGAGATCCTGCGAATTACCCAGCACCTCTGTCTGACCCTAGAGAATCTGCACACTTGTGGCAAAATTCTCTACTGGCCTCTAATAGGAGGGAGGTCTTAAAATGCATAGGCAACATACACATGGCAGCAAAAACTTAGATCTTTCCCCAGTGTCCATCCACACACCTTCTACTCCCCAGTCCCACTTTGTATTCCAGTTCTTTTCTCCCATTTCTGGATTGTTTTGGGATTCTGTGCTTCATCCTTTGTCATTCATCGGTTAACTGCTTGAGTGCGATGATAGCATATTCCACATTTTCATCTTTGGGTTTCCTGTGAGTCTGACTCGGTTCAACATTGCAGTAAAGAGGATCCTCAAGGCTGAGTCGGGATTTAAAGTTCAGGGTAACGTATTTTAGGTCTTTGCTGTCATCCTTGGGACTTTCCATTCTTTCAGTGCTGTCAAGCTATGAAAAGAAAGGGAAAACACTTGTTAGCATGATTCAGTGCCAGGCCACAGCTGTTAGCAAAACAAGATTCTCCAGGAGGAAAGGAGAAGCCATGTAAAACCTTACCTTCAGTCATGACAGAGGTGGAAGAACAGAAAACGCTTTCCTTCATCACCTCTCCTTGATACAGGTTACAACCTCATCATCTAACCTTGGTTTCTAGTCTTTGAGTAATTTCTCAGAGATTACTAGAATTTGCTCCACTGTGTTTTTTTCCTACTGGAGTTTCCTTAAATTAATTACCCCCTCTCTCTCCACCTGGGAACATTCCTCTCTTTGGTGACATTAAATACCATTTCCCCTTCTGCTCACAACCAAAAATGAGCACCAAGGTCCTCATCAGGTGGGTCGGCCAGCTCCTCACAGACTATTGGTAAAGGATTCAGGTACCATATGGGAAATTTATTGTTTTCCTTACCTGTGCTATGTCCTCTGGTTTGTCATAGATGTTCTCTGCTTGTCTGGTACCTTTGGAATGAGCCAAAATCAGAGGTTTTAGAAGTAGAGAAGTCCATGAAATGCCTGGGCACTGCCTATGCTTCAGGAGTTTTGGGGAAGGCTGTGGGATTGCCCAGTGATGGAAGCAATGGGTGTGCCAGTGGGACCCATCTACCCTGAATCTGGTCAACACATTGCTCTCACTTTATTTCTCCTCTAACATGTTAGGAAGTGTCCTGTGCAGAGTCTGGAGGAACATGGGTTTGACTTATTGTGAGAGGAGATCACAGCAAGGAGCCTGCCTTGAGGCTTCCCAGGCTGTACCTGCCTTATCTTCTCCAGGGCACTGAGAGTTGGGAATAAGCTTGCCTGGAGTGGAAAAGTGATGGCCAGAGAAGACCCTGTTTACTACAGACTAGAACACGAGGCATCACCAGTCTCCACATACCTCTTTTCTTCAGCTGCTTGCACCGCCTGACACACAGTGTTATCATGCTGATAAGTGCCAGGATGAACAGGACGCTCAGGACCCCAGAGAGTAGGATGCAGCTGTTTACATTTGAGCTGAAGTCAGGAGAGCAAAGGAGTTATCAGTGTTAGATGGTAGTACAGCGTGATGCTGGCGCAGCCCATTACCAAACAGTGACCAAAAAAAGGGACAGGAATAGCTTTTATGCACTAGCTTTTATGCACTTGGAAGGAGGCTCTGGTTCTCCTGCAGCAATGCTATCTTGATTTTTCTACCTGGCTGTGCCTTCTGAGCTTTTCCTAAACTACTCTCCAGGCTTTAAAAACAAGCCACTGTTCAAAGTTCAGAGCACAATTCCAGGCTCTCTGGAGCAGGTTCTGCCTTTTCCTCCTGTGTTTTGCTGCACCTGGCACACTGGAGCTGATGTATGATTGTACTCTTAGTGCTTTACTGCTGTAGTGTTGATGACAGCAGATGTCCAAGGGGAAGAAAATCCTTTACATTTAACAGCCTGGTAAATAGAAGGATAAAATAGCAGCCAAGGTCTATTTCATTGTTAAATATTCATGGACAGGAGCGAGTGAAGTTGAGACAGAAAGGCTTAGGGGCAGAATCTGGGGGGTTCTGTTGCTGCAAAGAGCACAGCCCAAAGAGATAAGGATTAAAAAGTAGATAGGCATCTACAGTGCAGAAAGCTGTGACTTGATCAATCTGCTTCCTCCTTTGTAATTACACTCTGGGCAGGAGCTGAAAGAGGAGAGGCCATCTTTGCTAAGGACGCCTGTCCTTAGCAAGTATCTAATTATTAGTATCTAATTCCTCTGTAAGCAGGAGTCTTCAGAATGCCCAGAGACTGCCTACCCCAGGAAAACAGGCATATTGTGAATAAGACATTAATAACTCTTTGTCTGTGTTCAAGTTCAGAGACTTTCTCTAGGCCTTACCTCGGTGCTGGGGTGCTGCCACAAGGGGTTGTTTGGCTTGTGCCTGCAGTACCTGACAAAGTTGTTCCAGCCAATACTGCAATCACAAACATGAAGAGAAGAATAATCACTACTGGGCTGCTTTGCATTTACCAGCTAAACTTTCCTGCCATTGCCACATGGATATAAACCCACTCCCGCTGTGACACCCAACACAGAGAAGCTGCCCAGGCTGTAACCTGTGTCATCAAGATTTTCTCGCAGCAGGCAAAGCTACGTAAGGATCAAAACGTGGGAGGGAGGGGCAAGGAGCTCAGCAGGAGCCCTACTCTCTGTGTACCCACCCCAACGTATAGCAGAAGGAAGTGCTGTAAGTGCAAGCAGATATGCTCTGTGGCAAAGATCTTCAGGTAGCAATGAAGTACTTAACGACTCTGTGCTTAAGCAGACAGAGGCTTGCAAAAACTAAGTAAAGAGCATTGTCTGTGAAGGACTCGGCTGTAAGAATTGCTTCCAGGACTGTTTCTGTGCCCCAGGGGAGGTTGTGTGTGCAGGAGCCTACTGGCTTAGAGACTGTATTCAGTCCCATGTGTTAGGATTTTCACCTAGAGGATTATGCCGTCCCCTCTCATCTTCTGGATTGCCATATCTGTTCAGTGCTGCTCTGCCAAATTCCAGACAGACAGGCTGCAGCATGGTGCTGGTCTGCCACAATCAGGTGCCTAAGTGTTTACCACTTAGTGTTAAAACATCATGCTGGAAGAAAACCTAGAAGTCACAGATCTTTAAAATATGGGTCTAAAGGTTGTCCCCGTGGCAACCAAATGTGAAAGTCTTAATAGTCTTTGAAAGCCAAGGGATGAGTTGCTACAAAGGGACAGAACTGCTATCATGAGAATGAGTGACAGAAACACCTCAGTGAAAATGACTGAAGCTGCTCGCAGGTGAAAGAGAAGCAATACAGCCCATGCATGTGGTTCAGTTCTGATCCCTGCTGCTATTCCATAGCATGGTTGGTGTGAGAAGGTGCAATGATGTAGGGTTTGGGCAGGCAAACACATGCAAATGTAAGGTGGGAGGTGGTGTAAGCTGGGTAGTGCAGAGACTAGAGGGAGAGAGTAGGAAAGTGAGTCTGGAATATACAACTAACCATGTTTCCCTGGAGGTCAGTACTCACCCTCAGAAATACTGAGCGTAACCTCCACAATTTGGAAAAGATGATTGTGTTCATAAAGTGCACACCAGTACACACCGGAGTCCTGTGCCTGCAGCTTCTCCATGGTGATGGTGACAATCCCCTGCTGGGTGTCATCCTGGATCGTGACTCTGCCTTGCTGGGGTGTCCTGAGGTACCCTGAGGGCTCCAAATTTGTGTTGACCAGTATGGTACATGCTTTCCTATCTCCCTCTTTGCCCCAGGCTTTGCTCACAGTCCCATAGACTGGGGCACTGTATGGACACCGGACAGAGACATGGCCTGACTCCTTGGCTGTGTGTTCTTGGGTCCCTGGAAAACACCCGGCACGTTTGATGAGGTCCCAAAGCAGGCACAATGGCACCCCTTCCCCATCACTGGAATACATGCTGTGGGCTGAATGCTCCCTAGATGTCCTTCTACCTCCAGACATGAGGAGCAGATGGGGACTGAAGCCAGATTACTCGTGCAGAGGTAAGCCACAAATTGGATGGGGTCCTGTCCTCTTTCTCTGGTTCCCCCAGGGACTACATGCTCACAGGCGCTCAGCTCTTAGGGTCTGGGAGGCAAGGACCGGGGAGGGTTGGCAGTTGCGGGGCCATAGCAAGAGCAATGCTTGCCAGTGGGGGAGGTCTCCAGCAGCGCCCAGCATGGGCTCAGCCAAGTGCTGAGCTGGGGAAGCTGCTCCTGGATACCCTGGATCAGCCCTGTGGGAAGCAGTTGCGAAGAGTGGCCCCGTTAGTGGGAGCTCATGGGAACCTCCCACGAGTCTCTGCTGGGAGCAGACAGAGCATGAAGGGTCAGGCCTGAGCTTTGGCTCCACAGGCCCAAGGGGCAGCCGCCAGCGTGTCCACCAGAGAGACAGGCAGGCAGGGAGAGATGGGTGTCAGCGGGGTGGCGGCAGCGCTGGGCTTCTCCATGGTGTGGCGCAGGACGGGAGGGAGAACAAGCAGGGGAAGTGGGGCTGAAATCTGCCAACAGGCACACTTGGCTGCCAGTAGGTACTCACTCTTGGATACAGAGAGCCTGACTTCCATTATCGGGGTGAGAGGAGAGCTTCTGTAGAGTACACAAAAGTACGTGCCGGTGTCCTGGGCCTGCAGCTCCTGCAAGGTGATGGTGACAGTCCTCTGCTGGGTGTCATCCTGGATCAATGTTCTGTGTACCATAGCTTTGCTGTTATGCCGTGTTGAACTGTAATCTGTGCTCACCACAACTTTATACCCCGTCTGACCTTCTCTTCGACACCAGGCTTTTGTCCCTCTGCTGTATCCCAGGATGCTGTACGGGCACTGCACAGAGAGACTGTACAACTCCGGCTTGTGCAACTCTGCGAAACAGCACATGTGGTCACTGACCCATGAGCAGTGAGCACACGGGCATCCACCCCCCGGCCTGAGCTGGGCACCTGGGCCAAACTCTGCCCTGGGGCAACTCCCTCACGGACGGCCCGTCAGTCAGGGCAGGGGTGAGGTGGGGCAGGACAAGAGGGAGCCAAGAGCCTGCAGGGCCAGCTGGGTCTGTGGGGCTCCTTCACACCATGCTTGTGTGAGCAGGGAAGGTGGGGAGCGAGGCTGGGGAGGG